GAGCAAGAGCACTGGTCTTAGAACAGAGACCCGGGTCCTCTTCAGCACTAGTTTCTGTGTTCAGGAAAAGCAGAGCTTCCCCAGGTCTCTGGCTTCTCAGCCGTCCATCTTCTAGCCTTGGATCTGCTCCTGCAGCCATCCTGGGCTCACTGTGAGTTCTACCTGGACCGAACCTTCCAGTCCCTCCTCCACCTCAGTAAGGGCCCACCTTACCTTTCCTGGTTTTTACTAACTCAGACAGTGCTAAGCTCCTCAAGGCTCAGAATCTGCTTTTGCTTGTGCCCAGGTTACTCTCCAGAGACATATAAACTATTTCTCAGTCCATTTATTTCAGAGTCTGCTCAGGTGAGATTTTTTTTTCCCCCTAACCATCATTTTCAAAATAGCACTTTCTCATCATTCCCTCTTCGACTGATTTCTCTTCACAGCTCTTACTACATGATTCCTGTACAATCTGTCTCACCCACTGGAATCAACGCTCCATTTCAGCAGGTACGTGGTCTTTCTTTTCACAACAGCAACCGGCACGTAAGCACTTAGTCATCAAAGAACAACAATGCTATGGCTGTGAGCAAATAAGGGCCTAGACACGGTGCAGACTCTGCTCTGGTCTCCCTCTTTCAGCGGCACTGAGGTGCTTCCTGCACTGTCCTGGAAGAAGGTCCTACGTGGAAGTCCCAAACCGGCCAGAAATACAGCAGTACAGCAGATAGCTGTGAGAGACACATGCAGCCAGGCACATAAGCCAGGGCTCTCTGCAGGCATCAGAGAGGTTCTAATCTAAATACTATCACTGTACATGCTTGAGAACCCCCCTAACTTCTGTAAACCGGGTAACAACCCTCCTCAGAGTATTTAACAAGGATCAAGGAAAATTATTTATGAAGCATCTTGTCAGGTACAACACATCATACCCTACAGGTAAAGTATGACTTCCAGCCAGAAGGCTCAAACTGTTTATTTGCCAACAGCCTTAAAGATAAAGTGTCATACACATGAAGCATCAATTCTATAGAAAGTAGACACATATATACACATTTATTCACCACCACTACCCCCCTACAAACACATACACACATGGAAAGTATGCCCACAAAAGACACAAACTGACAATGAGCCCAACTTACTAAACACCTGAAATCTGCTACATATCCTAGACTTTATCATGGACCCCTTGAAACAAGCCTTCGGACAAGTATGATTGACAGTGTGACAGTCAATGTCCTGTAATATGCTTTGGGTCCTAAGGATGCCTTAGGTCATCTTGGCTCCACCTAACAATCACTGTTCTAAGTCACTGCTCTGAGTCATGTCTCTAAAACAAGCCTCCAAACAGGTTAGCATTTCTTGTTGTATATGGTGGGCAAGAAAACCAAGAACCAGCCAGGTATGGTGTTACACAACCACAACCCCAGTACTAGGAGGTAGAGGCAAGAGAACGGCTCTCAGTTCAAGGGCAGCCTGATGTTCCCACCAAAGTCTAGGTCATCCAGGCCTACAGATGAGATGAGAAGGGGAGGTAGCTGCTGAGGGAGGAAGGCTAGGAACTAGGAACTAGCTTTACCGGAGCACTGCTGTTTCAGCTCACACCAATTTCCCCTGACCTGAACACAGATGAGACCTTCTGACAGGCATGCACTTGAGTACTAGATCCTACACCACCTCATATTCACATCAGATACCTCGCCTGTGTGGTAAACGTTAAGCTAGCTTTCTTACACATCTTTAAGAGATATTAACACAAAACTCTCTTAACACAGGAAAGATGCTCTGAAATAAAATGGAATAGTGACTTGTCTGAAAGATACATGGGAATTTAAGAACACAAAGTTAAGATCACATCCTAAGCTTCAAATCTAATTCACACCACAACACCATTACTTACATCATACATGTTCTTATTTCATTTACATGAAATAAACTAAATATACATGGAAAAAAATCTATCTTAACCCCAATAAAAAGACACAAGATTTCCCCAAACAATTCTCCCTGAGAACCTACACCAGTGTATAGTTCTGATGTTAGTGGGTCTGCTCCCCAGAAAGACTACATGCTCCTCCAAGGGAAGAATATCAATGAGTTCATCCTCTTTTCTCTTGTTACCCGAGTCCAACACAGTGAAACAGGTAACACTTCCCTATATGACAATATTGACAACAAGAAGGGCAAGAAGCAGAGGGTGTTACAGAAAACAGCATGGCCAGTATCTATTTTTACCCAAATAAACGTTTAATAAGACCTGTATTAATTAATAGCAAAAGTGAAACTAAACATGTGAAATGCAAAACACAACGGGATATGACTACAAAGCAGTGAGTTCCACTTCTATACTCACCCTTATCATCCCAATTTGAAAATCTTTAGGTGAACTGATACTCATCAAAATCAGTGTTCTAAAATATATTCTCTTGACCTGTATCTGACAGTGTCATTAGAAAAATAAAACAGTAAAAAGAAAACACAAATGTACTGTCCTGACTAAAGACATAAGAGAAGAGGAAAACAAATCTAGTCCTATTGTATGTGGTAAATTAACTTTTCACACTATGAATAAACATGCTTAGCCATACTGGAATATTCAAACTACATGTGAGCTACTGAATTTTGATCTATTTGGGTTTCTTTCTTTCTGGTTATTTTTCCCCCTTGTTTTTGAGACAGGATTCCTGGCTGCCCTGGAACTGGCTCTACAGACCAGGCTGGCCTTGAACTCAGAGATTTACCTGCCTCTGCCTCCTGAATCCTGAGATTAAAGTGCTACTGAACTTTGAAATATGCACAAATTATATTATAACTTCTATACAAACTGTCATCATTTTGGAATGAAAACATACCTCCTTTGGCTAATAGTTCCAAGTAGCTACAAAATACTTGTCAACACCTGATGGAAATTGCATCTTCGTTAAGTTCTTAGTATACACAAACATGTTAATACTTACAGCTGTCTCAAGTACACATTGGCCTTGAGACTTGGAGCCATCTGTGCTGTCCTGAGGGACAGGTTATTAACTATTACACCTTTGTTCTAAATCTCAAGTAAAAGCTGCTTCAGCCAGAGTCTACTAGAAGGGGCAGATCTCTATAGACCATGGGCTTCAGAAGGAGTCTTATCTCCCAACAGCATGACCTTAGGCAAAATTTTTAATGTCCTGAACCTCTTCCCACATTAACAAAATAGGGATAACTTAAGCTTCCTACAGCTATTAAGAAAGCTAGATTATATTTCATGTAAGTGACCAGTACACAATAAAGATTCAGGAAATGTTAGTTTTTCATGCCATTTTCTTCAAAGTCACAGAATAATTATTTAACATCATTAGTCAAAGCAATAGTAATTTCTACTTTGAGGCCATGTTTAGGCTTGCTAGTAGTCAGGCCATAGTTCATTAAAACATCTATTCTTATATTTAGAATGACTTGAGATAGCTCTTTAAAAGATTAGTCTTGGGGCTAGAGAGATGGCTCAGAGGTTAAGAGCACTGGCTGGATGCTCTTCCAGAGGTCCTGAGTTCAATTCCCAGCAACAACATGGAGGTTCACAACCATAATGAGATCTGGTGCCCTCTTCTGGTGTGCAGGCATACATGCAGGCAGAACATAGTACAGATAATAAATAAAATCTTTTTAAAAAAAGGTTAGTCTTGAAAAAAAGAGCAAAACAAAAAGCTTCATACGTTGCCAAAATTCTGTCTCAGCTTCAAGAATTTTTGAGTAGTTTAATTTCAAAAGCTTCTGTTCAAGTTCTCATTAATACATGGTCTGCTGCCCTAAGAAAGCACAACCAACATATTTATTCTGAAGTTCAGGTTCGAGAGGCAGAGCCTTGGGGCAGATATCCCTGGCAGAATTTTGCATTTCTGTCTGGTTTGCAAAACTGTGTGCTTTCTAACAATATAATGCCAGTTGTTCTATAAATATGGGCATATTCTACAGAAAAATTCTCTAGGATTGATTTTGCTATTCTATTCTGGATTTAAGTAAATTTTTGCATCAAATTGGTAGACTACTATATAAATTGCTATTGATTTGGTCAAGGCACCATGCAATGCTGACCCCCTCCTAATGGTGATGGGGAGCCATGGTGGGATTTAAGCAAAGAAAATGCCTGTCAAAGAAACAGAACTCCAGAGTCTCCAAGAGTTTCAATACTTCAGAATTTTTTATTTTTCAGGGATAGTTTGCTTCCATTCCTCTTTTACAGATTAATAAAAATGTGAAAATTCCTCTGTCCAAGCCTCAGGGAATACATGAAAGAGAGCTGGATACATTCTAAGAGCCAGGGGGTGGGGAGGAGTGCTCTGAAGCACTTCTGGACACACTGCCATTGTGATGCTCAACACACAGCAGCTGTGGTCACACACACACATCTGCACATATATACCGGCCCTTCAACAACCCATCCTGGATGAGGGAGGAGTTCAAAAGGTCTCACCTCTTCTTCCTGAGTACCCACTGGCAGTTAACAGCTACAGAAGGAGGGCAGCAGTGTAGAAGTGTAGCCACAGGTAATTGCCCAATAAATAACCCCTGACCCATACTCCTGCAAGCACACCTAATTATTCTCAGTGGAACATGAACACACACACACACACACACACACACACACACACACACACACACACACACACACA